CCTCGGCTTCCCCCCCTGCCGCACCGGCTCCCAGGGCATCTGACAGGGCTTCTGTCACTCTCCCAGGCACTTACCTGCTCCATGCCCATCGCTCAGCATCGCCACCCCCTCTGCCTGCCTTGTCGGGCCCCACAGAGCGAGCAGCCCATTCCCCCTCCCCTCTGTGGGTTTGCTGAGAAAACTCCGCCAGCCCAAGAGCCGGTTCCTCTCTCGGCAAACCGGGACAGCTGAGCCCCGTCCTTTAACGGGCTCGTCAATTCCCCTCGGCACTTACCTGCTCCATGCCCATCGCTCAGCATCGCCACCCCCTCTGCCTGCCTTGTCGGGCCCCACAGAGCGAGCAGCCCATTCCCCCTCCCCTCTGTGGGTTTGCTGAGAAAACTCCGCCAGCCCAAGAGCCGGTTCCTCTCTCGGCAAACCGGGACAGCTGAGCCCCGTCCTTTAACGGGCTCGTCAATTCCCCTCCTGTTCCCGCGACAAACTGCTCCATCCACGCAACCCACCGGCCGCCCTCCAACACGGAGCTCCCCGAACCCGCAGGCAGTTTACCCCCGACCTGCCTCTGCGTGACTCCGCTCCCAGGCGGAGGGTGAAACCCGCCGAGCCCCTGCTGGGGGCTCCCCCATGCTGCTGCTGATTCATCCCCTTCCTGTCACAGCCCCCAACACTTCTGCAGACACCTCGGCGGCCAGCGCATGTCCCACCGCGGCCAAGCCTGCCCAAAGCCCTGCCTGCCCCAGGGATGGACCGGACCACCCCCCGGCGTGGCGCCCGACTGGGCAGGACACCCAGCACGGAGAGCAGCCCCCTGGCCAGTCCCGCTCTCCAAGGCTCAGCAGTGGCAGGCCCCCACAAACGCGTCTCATCCCTAGTGCAGGCACAGCCCAGAGCGCGGTGAAGGGGAGGGAGGGCGAGAGGCAGAGGACAAGCAGGCTTGCGACTACGCTGGGGACAGGAAGGTGCTAGAGGACCGGGGCATGGACCCTACCATCATGCTCCTCGATATAGGGCTTGGGTTTCTTTCTCAATTTGGATTTCTTCTTACTGTTCCTTTCCAGGAGCTCTTTAATGTGCTGAGTCACTGAGAAACAAACAAAACCATGAGGACAACAGAATGGAGCACAAAAGAGAAAATGGGTTAACGTGCAGAGAGCCCTGTTTTCAAAGCCAGCAGCACGGGGGGGGGGCACCCCCAGCCCTTTCTCTGGGGCCCTGGGGACCGGGGAGGGCAGACGACACACCAGCAGATTGCCGTGCCAGTCGTCGGGGTCGTCCCGCGGCGTCACACTGAGCCTGCTCCCCCTCCCCTGCGAGGGCAGAGTCCGGGATCACGCAGGCACCGCAGGGCTTACAGGCGGAGTTTCCAAGGTGCGGGGCACCAGCAGCGCTTCTTGCACTGTGCTGCTGGGCGGGGATCCAGGGGCTTGGAAAGTCCGTCCCCGCGGATTGACAAGCACGGCTGCGTAGTGCCTCACTGCAAGCCCTCGAGTTGGAAAACTTCCATCTGGCTGGCTGCCTGCCTCCACCAGCCATGCTGCATTTGTGGGCTGCGGAGCTAAAGAGCTGCCACATTTGGTCCATGCACAGAGCTGGCGCCCGGCGGCTCCAGGACCCATTCCCAACCCTGCTCAGTGTGATTTCGGGTGAGTCCCTTCACCTCTCCAACACCATCGGCCACTAAACGCCCAACCTGCTCCTGCGCCCAGTGCACAAATGCTGCTTCTGGCCGTCCTGCATGCAGAGAGCTTGAGATTGAGTGTCAGGTTCCTTCAGACAATGCTGGGATTGCTGCTGAACTGCGTCTCTCTCTGGGGTGGAGCGCTGTGGCCATTCGCCATAACACTGCCACACAACAGCTCTTCAAAAGTTACAGAAAAAATTAACTCCTCTTGAAACTGCAGGGAACTGAGGCCGGAAGCACGGAAGCACCCAATCTGGGATCTGTCAGGACCCCAGGGTGAGACCCGCTCGTGCAGAAAAGTTCCATGGGCTCTTCAGTGCGCGGACAGGGACAGGCCCTGGGTTTAACTCTGCATTGGACAGATCCCGTGCCAGTGGATTTGAAAACAGGGCTCCAGTTAACATAAAACGACATGGAGAAAAATAAAAGGAACCGTAATAAAACAATACAATGGGTGTTGGGCCAGGGACCGGCCTTTTCCTCCGGGGTCAGCCACAGAGCAGGGGTTGCTACTAGACACGGGCTTTCGTAGGTGGGACAGGCAGCACCACAATCCAGCAGTGAGCAAGGCAACTTACATGAAATGAGCTTCATTTGCCTAGCACAGGTCAGCCTAGCAAGAGTGAGAGAGTGTGTGTGCATGTACGCGTGTGTGTGTGCGTGTGTGTGTGTGCGTGTGTGTATTTTCGTGTACACAAAAGTTACTTATTGCAAGTGGGGAACCACACAGGCGCCCCACACATGCCTGGCCTGTGCTGTTCATAAGCAAATACAAATTGTTTCCTCTAAGCTCCTAGAAGCTTTTTAAGGTTAAGAATGCCTGAAATGTATTAACAACACAACAAGGTTCCTGATGTCCCAGCTGGGCTCTCCCTCCCCTTTGTCCTTTGCTCTCACTGCCCGAGGGGCTGGCCACGCCGGGCCCCTTATACACCCGCCAGGGCCTGGCTGACCACTTTGCGGGAGGGTCGACCCCAGAACACGGGGCAGGTTCCACACGGTTCTACCAGGCCCAGAACGTTTGAGGAGGCGAGCGAAGTGACTCGCCATTCGGAGCACTCAGCACTTTGTATTAAGGCGCAGCTAAGACACTGGAAATCAAATCCGGGGTGAGGCTCCCGGCTGCCCCACATGACGACACCGGCCTCGCTGGACTCCCCGCCCTGGCCCAGGCTGTGCGTGTGCCTGAGCTTTTGCTCCTGCCTCAATTCCCCCCACAGCCTTTCGACACTCACGCTGCAACCGCTGCAGGGTGTAGCCACGGCGTGGCCTGTACCCCGCGTCCCACCGAGCAGAATGCCACGCGGCTCCGTGCACTGCCCGCCCTCGCTCTGCCCCCCGGCAGTGCGCTGGGAGCAGTGAGGCTTGGCCTGTTTCCCCTCTGGCACCGCCCGGCCTGCTGCCTGTCTGTCTGTGAGACCCTAACAAACGGCTCAACGGGACCCTGGTGCAGGGCAGAGCTCCCAGGCCTCTGGGCCCAAACTTCAGCCACAGTAACAAGGAGGGGGAGCCAGAGGACGCTTGTGGGCCAGGTTGCAGGGTTACCGGCTGGGCTCAGTGACTCATCGGTTTCAAAAGCCATTTGCTGTTTCTAGCTCCAGGAACCTTCCTGTTTAATGATGGGCTGCAGTGGCCAGGACGGTCTCTGGGGGAGAGCAGACAGCGCTCCCTCGGCGCAGAAGCAATGATTTGGGGCCAGTTACTCAGATCTCGCTCCAGGCAGAAGAGGCCCTATCTGATAGCACTAGTGAGCCAGAGTAACCACCCCCGGGCAAATCTGAACCTGGGCCCTCTGGAGCTGAGTATAGGAGCCTCTACCCTCTCGGCTAAAAGCCAGCTGGCTCCCAGCCCATGCTGTGAGGTCTCTTGGTCTTAACTGTTGCTGTGCCACTTGCATTGCTCAGTAACCACACTAGGGCTCTGGCTACCTACACTCATGGCTTCTTGCGCAAGAAAACATCCACACTGCTATGTGCCAGCTGCGCTTTTGCGCAAGAGCGCCCATGGCAGTGGGGACGCTCTCTTGCGCAAGAAAGCTCCGACGGCCATTTTAACCATGGGGCTTTCTTGTGCAAGAAATCCCTGCCCAGCGTCCACACTGCCCGCTTGCGCAAGAGGGCTTACACCTGTCACAAAAGAGCATAGCGCTTGCGCAAGGAGCCCTCTCTTACCGCGCCGGACTGTAAATCTCCTTGCGCAAGAGCGGGCGGGCAGTGTGGACGCTCTGCAGAGTCTTGCGCAAGAACGGCTGCACTTGAGCAAGAAGCCGTGAGTGTAGACACAGCCTAGGTGGGTGGGTTACACCAGCACCTGCATTTAACACCAGAAAAGCAACTCGGTGTCCCAGGGGGGCTGCCAATTGGAGGGAGGTCAGGGAAGAGACGCTAGACTGAACAACAGGCCCAAGGGACTGCTCCAAGACTGGGCTATCCACAGTACAGTACCTGGTGCGACTGTAGCACCTTCCAGCAAAGCATCTCCAAACGCTCCGCAAACAACCTCCTGGCGCCCCGTGACCTAGGTCCGGCTCATCACCCCCGCTTTAGAGGCCAGGAAACACAAAGAGTTTAAGGCCGGGAGGGACCGTGCAGCGATCGTTTAGTCTGGCCTCCTGCATAGCACAGGCCAGAGAACCTCGCCCCAGGATTGCTGCATCGACCCCGTAACTCTGAGCGACAGCCCCAGACATCTGGCCTTGATTTTAAGACTTCACGGGATGGAGAATCCATCACATCCCCGAGGAAGTTGTTCCCTGATAAAAGTGTGGCCTTTAGTTCTAGCCTCTCTCTGTCTAGCTCCAGCTCCCTACGCTTTCGCTGCTACATTAAAGAGCCATTTCTACCCGGAATCTCTTCCCCATGTCGGTACTTTCAGACCAGAAGCAAGCCAAGCCCTCTCTTACCTTTCGCTCTTGGAAAAGCTAACTACAGAGTTGGAGCTTCAGAGGGGGAGCCGAGTGAGTCTGTATCTGGAAAAACTTAAAAACACAACGAATAGTCCTGCAGCACCTTAAAGACTAACAACATGTAGATGGTTCCATGAGCTTTCGTGGGCACAGCCCACTTCTTCAGATGACCGGAGTATTAAAAGTCCAGATCCAAGAATAAATAAGACAAGGTGGCGGGGGGGAGAGGGGAGAGAGGTAGGGGGGGAAAGAAAAAAAAAGAGAAAAAAAGTAGTGAATTAGATTGTTCAAGTTATAAGAGGCTGATAAGAACAATTTGTACCTTTATAAGCACCCATTGGTTGGTTGGTTAAGTCATTAGGATGTGGCTCCATAGATGGAGCTTCCAGATCATAATAGGGATAGAGAATAAGACAGAGAATATCTTATTGCCTCTCTATAAAATCACGGTACGCCCACAGCGTGAATACTGCGTACAGATGTGGTTGCCTCATTGCAAAAAAGATAGATTGGCATTGGAAAAGGTTCAGAAAAGGGCAACAAAAATGAGGAGGGGTTTGGAACGGGTCCCTTATGAGGAGAGATTAAAAAGACTGGGACTTTTCAGTTTAGAAAAGAGGAGACCAAGGGGGGATAGGACAGAGGTCTATAAAATCATGACTGGAGTGGAAAAAGTGAACAAGGAAAAGTTATTTACTTATTCCCACGATATAAGAACTAGGGGTCACCAGATGAAATGAATAGGCAGCAGGTTTAAAGCAAACAAAAGGAAGTGTTTCTTTACTCAAGAGCACAGTCAACCTGTGGAACTCCTTGCCAGAGGATGCGGTGAAAGCTAGGACTTTAACAGGGTTCAAAAAAGAGCTAAATTCATGGAGGTTGGGTCCATCAATGGGTGTTAGCCAGGATGGGTAGGAACGGTGTCCCTTGCCTCTGTTTGTCTGGAGGTGGGTGACAGGAGAAGGATCACGTGAGAATTCCCTGTTGTGTTGCCTCCCTCTGGGGCACTTGGCAATGGCCACTGTCGGCAGACCGGGTACTGGGCTAGATGGTCTGACCCAGTGTGGCCATTTTTATGTTTTTATCATAAGTTTTTCTTATAGTGTAGACTCCAGAATTGGACACATTCTTGCAGTAATAGTCTCACTAATGCCATCTACACAGAGCCCTGAGTGGACACAAACTTTGTGTTGGCATCTGCATCCACAAAAATGAATCGTGGATACCCACGTTGACAGTTGCAGATGCAGATATCCATGGATATAAAGCGGGTGTCTGTAAATTTGCAAGGTTCTAGATACAAAATTTGTCCCTGCAGCCAGATCTACAAAAATGAGCCACGGATATCTGCATCCACATCCACAGAGGCAGATACCTGTGGCTATAAAGCGGATATTTGCAGTTTTGCAGAGCTCTCCATACACAGAGGCAATACCACCTCCTTATTCCTATGTAATATTCCCGTTTCTAAGTCTAAGGGTTATATTTGCCCTCT